CGTACTGCTATTATTGGCAAGCAAGTTAATCTTGACTTGGAAGTAAGTATGAATGACACAAATTATTTAATATCTTTACAACATTTACCGTTCAGAATTAATAAATTGTGCTGATATTCATTTGTGTCATTCAGACTTATTTCCGAACCAAACTGAACTGAAGGTCATCGGACATATGTCCGACCCGAACTCAACGTCACCGGACATTTTGTCAGACGGCCCTGTAAAAGATATTTTAAGGCCTGACGGTTTGTCCTCACAGGACGGCTCTAGGGAGAACAGTATAAAACAGATAGAGCTATTCGTGATATGTTAGTTTCGTTGATTTCGTTTTCATTAAATTTCCAGGACAACTCAAGTATTCTGTTGACTCAAGTTGAAAATGCCATTACTGACGTGAAGAGCAGCATTGACAACATGGCGGATGCTCGGGCCAATCTCGGCAATGCTACGGAGATTGCCGACGACGTGCTCGGAATGACGATTCCTGTGCAAGAGCAAACGATCAATGATATATCACAACGCATATTAAATATAGAGGTAGATGAGGCTTTGGTGAATGATACCTTGAAGAACGCAACCGCTGGACTGAAGATTGCGGAGGAAGCGATGCGATTGGCAGAGAGAGCAATGTAAGTTGAAGTCACTGAGCTGTAGAATATTAGCTGGATAGATGGCTCCCGCCTTTTGTCAGTCCATTCAGATTTTGAACCCGTCAATTTTCTGCAAAGGGAATCTCTTGATTTTGAAATCATGTCTAACCACAAATATGATTTTGGTATGTGTAATATTTAGGTCATTCAAGGAAGAAATGTAATGTATCTTTATAATAAAAAATCCCATCTTGATCAACTTTTTCACTGTCAAAGTTAGCGGATATGATGTCATTAGGTGAATTGCAAATTAGTTTCCCTTTGTTTTTTGTACCAAAAAATCACCTAATGACATCATAACCGGAAACTTTGACATCCTATCCAGAAACGTTGACAGCGAAAAAGTTGATCAAGATGAGGTTTTTTACTACAAAGATATATTACATTTCTTCGAATGACCCAAATATTACGCATACCCAAAAATTATATTTGGGGTTAGCCGCACTTTAAAAGATATAGCTTTCCATACTCTATCTTCTAAAGTATTTTAGACCCCATTATTGAGACCTCTGGCAGGAATCGAATCTGCGGTTTTGCGATTCCAGTGCAGCGCTCTAACCAACTGAGTACAGAGAGACAGTTGTCGAGCTCTAACTACAAGTTCATGTATAAATACTAAAGCTATGCCAATGTACTGTGTATAAATCCTGATATCTAGTTCGTACAACCTATTCCTTTGTCCTACAATAAAACTGAATTCCATATCACCCTGGTACGCCCTTAATTGCTGAAATATACTGTATTTTTTATGGTATTGTCAACAGGAATGTTTCTGAAACAACTCTTGAACAAGTGAATGAAATTGAAAGGAAAATCGAGGAAGCTCATAAGCGCCGTGAGGAAGCAAGGAATTTACAAAACTCCACAGATCGAATGGTCGTAGAAATACAGAAAATAACAGAAGAGGTATAATTGTTTCCACTTTTTCGAATTTCGGTGTTGGGGGCATAGTGGCTAGTAAATGTGTGATACCCGCGCAATGCAATTTCTGATTATAATTTTGCCTGCATGGACCGTATGTGAGACGAGTGCTTTCAGTTTGACTCTACCAAACACCGCAGGTTTTACTATCTCGGCATTCTGGTTTATGCTTTACTTTAGTAACACTTATGGACCTTACTGGATCTTTAAGAGCAAGAGAACAGTTTAGAACTGCTAGAGCTATCCAGTGCGAATAAGGTTTTTACCTTCAGTAACACTGAACCATTTAGTAACACTGAACCAATAAAAGATGAACCTTACTGGATCTTTAAGAGCAAGAGAACAGTTTAGAACTGCTAGAGCTATCCAGTACGAATAAGGTTTTCACCTTCAGTAACACTGAACCTTACTGGACCTCTAGAGTGACCAGTTTAGAACTAATAAAGCTATCCAGTATAAAACGGTTAGCTCAGTAGTCGCATATATCCTACAGTCAAGTCTCGCATGTTTTCTCTATGATGTGAAAAGTATAAATCTTTTATTTAAGGTGGAAAACGAATATTCAGAAGCTCAGACGATTGGAGAAACTACATTGTTGTTACTGAATACCACCATTGATCAGATTGACAACAGTTTGAAATGTTTCAATGATTCGAAACAACTTGCATTAGACGCAAGCAAAGTAGCGAACCTTGCTTATAGACAGATCATGAATGCGTCAAAGGTAAGGCGATTTTTAACTTCTTACTTTCTTTCCAACTTATAATAAGCCATTGTTTTAATTCGTTGTTGTTGTTGTTGTTGTTGTTGTTGTTGTTGTTGTTGTTGTTGTTGTTGTTGTTGTTGTTGTTGTTGTTGTTGTTGTTGTTGTTGTTGTTGTTGTTGTTGTTGTTGTTGTTGTTGTTGTTGTTGTTGTTGTTGT